TTTGAATTCCCTCAGTACTTGTCTCGAAAAACTCATACTTTTCTTCAGATTTGATCCTGTGATTCAATCTGGGAGAGAAAAACTCCAAGATTCGACTTGTGGATTCGGTTTGCTCTTGTTTTCGACATTGGATTTGTTAATCGTAAGCTTTCTTTTAGTTTTATTATTGATTGAATGGCTTTGATTATGATGTTTGCTGATGTTGAATGCATCATGAGTAACTAAACCCATTAGCTAGGGTTAGGGGAAGATCATTCCGGTTCAATTTCGTTTATATGCATGATAATTGCTCAATCCTCTCGAGTTGTGCTTAGCCTAGGGTTTTGATGTTTGATCACCATCTTAATCTAGTTAATCGATTTTATAACTGAAAAGGGAGAAATCGTTCGATCTAGGCTCGTTAGGAGTAAGCTTGTTCGTAATAGTATTGCTTATGTGTTGATTGTCTCAAGAATTACTCGTTTATGTCTATCCTCTTGTTACGAAGAGTTATTGAGGATAGATCTCTAGATGAATAGTTTTGTGAGGCCTTTAACTGAGCTTTTGATTGCTCGTTAACTGCATTGAGAACCGGAATTGATTGACCCTGATACCCTAGCTCCATTATAATTGATTGAGTTTGAACTTGAGATTCCTAGTTTCGTCTAGTTTTTCTTATTGCTTGTTCTTTAATTCGTAGTTAATTAATATTAAACCAAACCAATCGAATTTAAGTGTTTAGGACCCTTTCTTTTATTATTTGGTGTGATTGAATATACGTACAGAATACTCCGGCTAACCTTCCTCGTGATACGACTCGGTGTCGAATCTTTGGATTCTACTCCGGTTAAAATTATTTACAACAATCTTCTGCTATGCTCTACTACGTCCTATTTATAGGACTTCTAGCTGTAGAGGGAAACATAACAACCAACTGCCACTTAAGGCTAGTAAGAGTATCACACTTAATTCTGTTCTTAGTGAGTAGAAACGGTCAGGTGTTATAACCACTACTCCAACACCTGAATGGTGGAGTCAAACGTCTAGGTTCAATGAACCTGGAGAGGTCTTATTTGGATGGGTCAAAACCCGAGTCCAAATTCAACTTGATTTGGATTTCAATTTGTGCCAAAATTGCAAGTAATTTGCAGCACAAAAAGATATATGTGGCTCGGCCCAATGCCCAAGCCCAACACGCACTTAGCCCAAGACCGGCCCAGATCGCCATAGGTCGCCATAGTCCAATTGTCAAATACCAAATACCAAGTACCAAAGACCAACTCCCAAGTCCCAAGTCCCAAGCAGGCCCGTGCCCGTGCCCAAGCCGACATGCAATTTGGCTTATTGTTGTTGATTAATGGAAACATATGTGGTTGTTCTATGTTGTTATTTATCGTGTATCACACTTGGTGTGTTTTGGTGTGACCTCAGTGGCAAGTCATATTGGTATTTCAAAAAATCCACCACGATCAAGGCTTCCAAGTTGGGTGATCGAGCCGACAAGCGCTTGAGGATAAAAAATCTACCATAATTAAGGCTTTCGAGCCGGGTGGTCGCTTGTTTTGAACAATCTTAAGTGTTGGGTTGGGCAAACGCTGAAAGATAAAAAAATCCACCATGATGAAAGATTTCGAGCTCGGTGGTCACTTGTTTTGAACAATCCTAGTGTCGGGTTGGGCAAGTGGTCATTGGTTAGTGGTGCTGCAACATGCAATTTCTAGTCTGTGGCATCTTCAGCCTTCTCTATTATTATGAGTGCGAGCTCTTTGAATGGATGAGACTTGTGATAGAGATAACTAGGTTGGGAGTTAGGTTCGAGGACGAGCTTTAATGATGATCATATAATAGAGTAAATCCAATCGATACCTATTTATGAGGACAGTTTGAAAACTAGGGAGGATTGAATATTAACAAAAATGGTTTTCATACATTATTTATCATCACACTCTTTTGCTCAATTTTCTAAAAACATTTGCCAAATAATACTAATTCCTATTCTTTTTAAATGTCTTTTGGTTTTATCAACCATTAACCAAATAAATGACCGTTTTGGATTTTTCTTTTTACATATTTTTCTATTATTACCCTCATTTAGTTAAAAAATACACTACGCTTTTTCATGTCAACTTTTAATTTTTACTTTATTAATTTTCACTAGTATAACGCTTGTGTATTACACGGGTGTTTGCTAATTTTTTTCTTAAAATTTAAAATTAATGAGAAAAAGTAGTTAGAAAATTAAATACCTTTTATAAGAATATATATATTATTATATGTTTATTATGATACTTTTTATT